CAGAGCTGGGGAATAAGGCACATGTTCAAGCTCTGTGACGTTTAAAAAAGGATCTGAAAGGCCGAAGATTTGAGGGCATTCAGACTATCCAAAACAAATACGACGCACAAACTCGTAGCCATTCCAATAGAGGGCTTTATGAGGTTCTTCCAGAAGCTGCTCGATTCCTGGCAGAGGTGCGTGGACTCCCAAAGGGACTCCTTTCAAAGTGAGCCCAACAAGTAACTCCAAGACGCAAAAAATGGTATGTCAAAGTCATAACATTTTTGGATCAAACCATTCACCGTGTGAGGCTGAAAGAAATGAAACAACCGTCGTGATCTCACGGAAGACTCCTTCGAAAGTGGCTGAAATTTAGGTCCGAGATTTTCTTCCTTCAAATCGGATCGACATTGTGTTTTACGATGGGCCGGGATACTTTTAAAATTAGCCAAGTATCCTCGCAATGAATCTTGACTTTGGTTTTACGCCACTGCCGCTACTAGTTACTGGAGTTCAGTGGGGAATATTGCAAAATATGTTGGATGGAAGAGGAAAATGAGAAAATGAGGGTCACATGTCTCACAGCGGCAACTGAAGAATAATAGAGAGAGAAATAATAATAATACATTTTTTTCCACATTTCTTCTGGATGTTTTTGATAATTTTCTCGCAAAATCTCGGAATAACGACCCACCGCGTGCGAGTCCAAAACCCCGTATCAGCCCCGAAAATGACGCAACGCCTCCGCAATTCGCGGGGAGACGGGCAGACCCCTCCCTAGGTTACCGGTCCGCGACGCCGACCCCAGGACGTCACGCCTCGTTTGCCGACTCCCCAACAGAGAGATGGAACTCCACGGCTCGAAGGAGAGGATGGAAGAGCCCCAAGACGTGATCCTGTCCCTGCGGCATCAGATGTCGCCGCAGACGATGTACTCGGCGCTGGGGCACTCGCCGCCGGGCGTGTCGTGCACCATCCATTCGCCGAGCGGTGGGGTGAGTGGTCGTCCCTTCTCTTTCGCTCGTCCCGTTCCATCGGGTCTGAGATGGTTCCGACCTGCGGGTAGTTCTTTGGAGCGGGTGGAGGAGGAGGAGGAGGAGGGTACATGGGGGAGGGGCAGGGAGGGCCTGGGCATCACCCGGGTGCCGCCTTCTCGCCTGCAGCCATGAGCGTCAACGTTTCCATGACTCTCGCCTCGCCGTATCGCGAGAATCACATCAACCATCAGGTGAGGCCGTCCGTTCCTCAGAGAGAGAGAGAATTGTATTTTTGTTGTTGCGATGGATGAGGTTCTCACGGGGGTTTTCTCTCGATCGGTTCAGCTGACCCTCGGAGGAAGCGGCGGAGGGCTCTACTGTTCCCCTCTTCACCCCTCTCAACAAGCACAGCTCCAGCCCTACGCAGAATTCCTGAACGGAGATTCCTCCTCGTCGTCGGCCGGGGCCGAGGCGTGCGGTTTCGCCGAGGACAAACGCAAAGGGACGGGTGAGGACCGTCTGAGCCCGAGCGACCAGGGAACCGGGAGCAACGTGTGCCGGATCTGCGGCAAGAGCTACGCCCGGCCCAGCACGCTCAAGACCCACCTGCGGACCCACTCCGGCGAGAGACCCTTCCGGTGCGGGCAATGCAACAAGAGCTTCTCCCAGGCGGCCAACCTCACGGCCCACGTCCGCACGCACTCGGGCGAGAAACCCTTCCGCTGCGGGATCTGCGACCGCCGCTTCTCGCAGAGCTCCTCGGTCACCACCCACCTGCGGACCCACTCCGGGGACCGCCCGTACCGATGCAGGCTCTGCCGGAAGGCCTTCGCCGACTCCTCCACGCTGACCAAGCACCTCCGCATCCACTCCGGCGAGAAGCCCTACCAGTGTCATCTGTGTCTGCTCAGGTTCTCGCAGTCCGGGAATCTCAACCGTCACATGCGGGTGCATGCGGCCAACGGCTCTTGAGCCGTCGACCCGTTTCGAACGATAAGTATGAAGGGGAGTTCGGTTCCAGTCCTTTTCGGCATGTGAGGACTGGAGACGTTCGCGGGCTTCGTGTGGTCGCCGTAATCGGTCGCCGTTTTTTTTTTCTCTCTCTCTCTCTCTTCCTGGAACGTAAAGAAACCGGGAGGGGTTGAAAATTCTTCCTACGATCTGACGTTCGTCGGTGAGAATGGACCAGAGACATCTACTTCGTTGCGAATCCATGCATTTTATTTTTTCTCATCACGACACGAGGCTGGAACCTGAAACGAAAGCATACATCATCGAGTGTGCGGCATACATCGATTGCGTCCTGTAGCGTGAAACGACAAGGAAAAGCACTGGAACTGGTACTCCCGAGTCTCATCGTTTCCCGAGCTCAAGGTTGTCATCTTGTTTTTTTTTTTTCTTTCTTTCTTTCCGACCGCGTCTAGTCATGCAAGCCGACCGATATACTGTACAGAAAACGGACGTGAAACGTATCTGATCTCGACGGTGTGGACCACCCCTCAGAAACCGCGATCTCAAGGACCCGACTATCGATCTCAAGTCCGGAATAAACACGCTTACCATGTCAACGTGAGAAACAAAAGCGTTTCATTCCCGACGTCCC